CCCCCCTGCCCCCCTCGCCGTCGGACCGCGCACCCCGCGCCTTGTAGGGAGGCGGTGGCTCTTGACATACTTGCAGGACAAGGGGGAGTCGTTCTCTGAGCAGGAATTCAGAATGACCTGGCAGCTACTGAGGATGATTACACCGGCAAGGGCGAGGAAGGGGCCCGCGCGCCCGCCCGGGAGCGGCGCTCGGAAACCTGCGTGGCCATGCACAGTGTAAGCGGGCGCTCCCTTTGGCCCCCTTCTCCGGGTCGGTCCCAAGGGGAGATGCCTGCAGGAGGGCCGGTACAGCGGTGACAATTTAGACACAACTGAAGTGTCGTCGCCGAGCGCTGCAGGCCCCGAGTGAGCGCCGTCCGCAGGGTCCTGGCCCCGGCAGCCCGCTCGGCTCCTGCCTGTGGCTTCCTGCATGGAGTCCACCCGTCTCATTCGGTCTCCCTCGATCCCCGCTGCCTTCTGTTTTCCCAGCATTAGTCTTTCCCAAAGAACCCCGCCGTCTCATGATGTGCCCAAAGTAGGGCAGCCGCAGCTTTGTCATGTTTGCCTCCAGCGGTGTTTCAGGCTGAGTTCGCTCCAGGCCCACCTGTGCGTCTTTCCGCCGGTCCAGGGGCGCGCGGAGCTCTCCTCCACCGCCCTGTTTCAAGTGAACCGGTGCTGTTCCTATCGGCCTTCTTCCCTGTCCGGCGTTCACGTCTGTGCCTAGTAACTGGGAACACGATGTGTGGACAGCCTTAACCTAGGTCTCCAGTGACGTATCTTTGCTCTTGGTGACCTTTCCTAACTCTTCCATTAATGCCATTCCGAGTCTTAGCCTTCTCTTGATTTCTTGGCTGCGGAATCCATTTGAATTAATGACTGAACCAAGGTAAACAAAATCTTTAACAAGTTCAGTGTCTCCTTTGTCTATGTTAAAGTTGTGTCTTTCTTCTGCAGTCATGAGTTTTTCTTATTGGTGGTCACATGCAGTCCTGGTTTGGCACTTTCTTCTATCACTTTCATCAGAAGTCATTTCAAACCACCACGGCTACTTTCCTACAGTATGTTGGTGTCGTTTGCATATCTTAAGTCACTGATATTTCTTCCAGCAATTTGTAGTTTTTCACACGATATGTTTTGTGTACAGATTAAACAAATAGGGAGATAAAATGCGCCCTCGCTGGACGCCTTTGTCTATAGGAAACCACTGTGTCCCCATGCTCTGTCCTGACGGTGGCTTCCTGTCCACAGTACAGGTTTCCCATGAGGACAATCCAGTGCTGAGGCACCTCCGTTTCTTTCAGAACAACCTATAGCTCATCATGATCCACACAGCCAAAGCTTTACTGGAGTCTATAAAACAGACTAACCTCCTTCGGAAATTCTTTGGAGCACTTCAGTATCCAACCAATGTTTGCGAATTTTTTCCATTTTTTATTTTTATTTTTCAATTATGAACTACTTTCAATATTATTTTGTATTGGTTTCAGGTGTACAGCACAATGATTAGATAATCACGTGCCTTACAAAGCGTTCCCCGATATCTCCAGCACCCACCTGGCCCTACACGTAGTTATTACATTACTGACTGTGTTCCCGGTGCTGCACTCTACATCCCTGTGCTTTTTAATCCCCTCGCCTCTTTCCACTCAGTCCCACCAACCCCCGGTCTAGCCCCACCAGTCCACTCTGTGTGTCCACGAGTCTGTTTCAGTTTTGCTCATTCGTTTGTTTTGTTCTTTAGATTCCACATATAAGCGAAGTCATGTGGTGTTTCTTTCTCTGACTTACTGCACTGAGCGTGTTTGCAATTTGATCTCGAGTGCCTCTTTTTCTAAATCCAGCTTGAACTTCCAGCATTTCTTACTCCATGAAAGGTGGAAGCCTTTGTTGCATCACCTTGAGCATCACTTTACTTGTGTGGGAAATTAGAGCAAATAGTTACTACACTCCTTGGCACCTCCTTTCTTGAAGACTGGGGAGTATGTAGAACATTTCTGGTCTGTAGGCCATTGTTTTGTTTTCCGTATTTGTTGACTCATTCTTGTTAGGGTTGTGACAGATTCAGTCTCTGTGGCTTGAAATAATTCTATCGTTTTCCATCTACCCCTGGTAATTTATTGCTCCCCAATGCTTTCAGGGCAGCTCTCCCTTAGTTTTCTAGAATTACAGGTTCTTCCTCCGAGGAATCTTCTTCAAAGATATCTGTCATCTTTTTGTCTTTTCTGTGTAAATTTCCAGTGCACTGCTTCCACCTTCCCTTTATTTTCTCCTGATCAGATAATGTGCTTTCTCTTTGGTCATCCGGCATTCCCAGCTAGGGAATTTCCTTTTTATTTCTTGAATCTTCGGGTGGAGATCTCTTGTTTTTCTCTCTTTATTGCTCTCTTCCATCTCCTTACACTGACTATTGTAATAGTTCTCTATCTCTACGTGATAGTCCTTGAAAATCTGTGTTCAGGATTCTAACTCTGTATCAATAGGAAAGGGAAAATAGATGGTGGTACCCATACTTAAAAACTCTACTCTATTAAATGTTAAAGTTAAAATTAATTAAAAAAATACTTTACTATTAAAATACTACTAGATATTAAAATGCTACTCTCTATATCTATATGATACTAATTAAAATTTTAAAAGTTTTACATCACTACTCCATATTTAATGACATGGAAAACAGAACCTAAAACAATATGTATAATATGATCCCATTTTTAAAGTATGTGTTTATATATGCACAGATGAAAGATGCACTAAAAAATATCTAATGTGATTTTTCACTTCATTAAAAAAAATAATGAATATGCTTTATATAGTCAGATAAAAAAGGAGAGCCGTATCTGTTTTTTTAAATTCTCACTGAGGACACCTTTTTAAAACTGATTTGAGAGAGAGAGGAAGGGGGAGAAAGAGAGAAACAGAAACATCAATGTGAGAGCAAAACATTGATGAGTTGCCTCTCACACTTGATCGAACCTGCAACCCAGGTATGTGCCCTTGACAGGTTGTGCAAAAGGCTGACTGACACTCTAACCACTGAACCGT